ACACACACACACACACACACACACACAGGACGACCTGTCAACAATATGCGTTTTGGCTAATTGTAGCAGCTTAGCATTACACGGCAAAAACGCACGAAAACCGGTAAGCTGGGCCTATTACTCATCTTGATAGCAGCCGTTAGATGTTGTTCGTCAATGAGTGACACTCACAAGAAAGTTAGCGATTACTGGGACGATTATCAAGGAGGTAAAGCGCGCATCGAACAAACAATAAGTCAAAAGTGGACGTATGCATATCAAGACTATGTTGTATAGTAAGGATATGTCTAGTAGGGGCGTAGAAATGGTAACATGAAACTACTTAACTGTGTACGTGCTGTTAGTTATTTTCACAATTGCCAGCAAATTATTTTTTTTAATTTTAAAAAATATGTTTTGCACGAAAAAATCAATAAAACGTGAAAGTATGCTACTTAGTGGGCTGAAACATTCCAATTCTGCGTTCCTTTGTTCAATTGATTTTTCATAATTATTGGTTACCATAAATTAAATCACAATTTTATAAAGATTCAGCAAGAAAATTTTTCGAAATAAATTTGAATGGGAATTCAGTACTACTTAAAAGTCAAAGCCTCTGCATTCACTCTTTGCGAGAACGTTTTGCTTTTGCATGAATTTGAGATTCTCGGCAGTAGCTCGAGTCAGTGGTAAGTACCAACAACAAGCATTCGCTGGTAGGGCTGACGATAATTCCTCTTTTTAAATTTTTTGGACCCAATCCAACAGTGGGCTAAAATCCCTGGCATGCATCGGTACCAATTTACCATCGAAACGAAAGAACGAATTACAAATGTGAATCCTAGAAAAATTAAGGACTGAACTTGCACATCAGTCTTTTGTTTTTCAGTCTATATAACTGGGCTGGTATTCTGAAACTGTAAACAGCAGCGGAGATTGCTGCAAAAACAAGGTTGCATTTTCTGGATTATGGTGTTTTGATACCTGGTAATATTTCCAGTCGCTCGCAGAATTTGCTAAATTCTGCAAGCATAAGTAGACACCTGTTAATACAGAACTGGTGCACCAATAAACTTTTGGCACTATCTGCAAAAAAATGTCTGAAAAGCATTTCAGAAGTGGATTTTGCCACAACAATGCTACCCTTACTTTGATTATCAAGGTGACTAGGAGAGCACGGCCTGAAAATCTAAGTTACTGGAGTTAACGGGATTCAGTTTAAAGTGTAGTACATTAGGTCGTTCTGCCTTGATTGCGTGTCTCCAGTTGGTACTCGCTGTCGCGAGAGCGAAATCGAAATCTACATTTACGCCAATGTGTTAATCGGTGACTGTATTGTTCTTATTAGCCACCCAATTGTCTACCGACAGGTCGAATTACTTTAAAGTAAGGCCAAGAGGAGTTCTTGTTCTTTCTTCTGAGGTAGTGTTGTTTTTGGAGCTTTGGGAATTGGTTGGCCTTGCGCTCCTGGTGACCTGGTGTGCTTCGTCGATTGTTGTGTCTTGCATATTCGGCAAGTGTGGCGTTTGCTTATGAAGATATCTTTTGAAAGGAAATTTTGATCTAAGGTGAAGAATATACTACTCGGCTCTCTCTGTTCTGATTTCGAGTGCACTCGCTGCTGTATTATGGAAATGCTCCACTTTTGCAAATGCGTTAGTGGTCGTTTTCTTTGCGAGTAAATTTGCGCTCGCTACTTTGATAGTAATAAAAAAAGAATGATTAGAATTGAGAAATTTTTGAACAAAAACTATTGAGAAACACAGAACCAAAAGATTACTGAAACAAGGTAGATTACCTGGGCTGGAAAGCACCAGGCTCTAGAGTGCGATCATGGACATCCAGTTGCATGATTACCGGTTTTTTGCGTGAATCCGGTCGTTTTTTCGGTAAATGCTCGCTGTGTGAAAAAATGACAAATGCAAATTTTTTAGAAAAATGCAGATTTCCAGTTCATTAAAAAGTGGAAATATTGCTCGAGCGGTTGTTTGTCAAAAAATCCATGTATGCAAATTAACTGTTGTTCATTTACATATGCTACTGGGGTTCGGGTTCGGGTTGTGATGGATTTCTTAACGATTTTTGGGTTGAGGAGCTGTTTGAGGCTGTGGTTGGGGGGCTGGACAGCTGAACTTTAAATCGTTAGTTCGCGCGCGCATAGAGAATATCCCTGTAAAGTTTGAGCTTTCTACCTTGCCCGGTTCGCAAAATCGTTTCCCGCCAACATATTCCTTTGGGGGTCCCGTACGCAGGGTCTAGACGCGTGTGGGGAAAGACCTGAAAACAGGAGGATGACACAAGGGGTAGGAACATATATCCAAAGTTTCAGCCTCCCAGCTTCCATGGTTGCTGAGATGAAAGTGGGTGACAAAATGCACTCACTTCTGAACACGCACACACACAGACAGCCTCTCGACAATATGCGTTTTTGCTGGCTGTAGCAGTGCTATAACAAAAACGCATAAAAGAATGAAAATCGGGTTAAAAGATATAAATAATAAAAAAGCTGCCTGAACAATGAAAAATGATTAAACAATGTTTAAAATTTGCACCGAAAACAAAAAGAGAAGGCATTAATAGTTTTTTTAAAATTCATAAGTATTACTAGAACTTTGATGTTCGGAAAACATTGCTGCAAATAGCTGGCAGCCTCTTTGAATTCTTTCGTTGCTTTGTCGTCCACAGCAATGCAGTACTGGTTTTGAGGAGCATAAATTGCACTTAGCATATAGTAAACCTGAAACGTTTTAAGTTCTGCTATTAGCATGGTTAAAAAAGAAAGAAAGAAATATCCCCAAAAAACTTCATTCATTTTTTTAGCATTATCAAAAAATTATTTATAAAATAGCAAACTGTAAAAATAAAAAAAATAAGGTAGTTAAAACAAAAGGCCACTAATCAAATAAATAACTAAAGCAGCCAAAGCTACGTTTTATCTGTCTCAATCCTTAGTTAAATGACAACGAACCTGGTCAATACGTATATGCACGAGGATCCCGTAAGCTATGGGATATTGTTGTTCTTCATACGACAAGGCTTGTTCAATGAAGCCATAACGATACTTCAGAAATTCACATCTAAGAGGTGCTTTATCATCAACACTGATAATGAAGACACGCCTGCATCACGCCTGAGAAATCAAGCTCAGGCAGAAAACTTTTCAGAGCTAAACCTCATAATTCTTAGCGCAAAAATCTTCGCGCTTTATGGCTGTACTGCGGAGATCCAATTTTGGTATTAAGAGAAAAATAAACTGCTTGACATGCCGGAACTTCCTTGTCCTGACCATTATTGTTGTTTATATAAAAACCCAAGCTAGAATTCACCTGACTAGTCGGTGTGATCATGAGTTTTTGCACTATTCCAAGTAACTAAAAATTGTATAGCCCTCGAAATTCAAGAAGTTAACTGTGCAGCTACGTGGCATTTTGGTTGTAGATGTCGGATTCAGTGACCCAACAAACAAAAGCCCTTGTTGAGCGAAAAAGAACCCACGAGAAGAGCTGAATTTGAAGTCTTTTAGCCGCACATGAGTACAGAACATTCCACTGAAATTCTAGTTTCCAGCTTTTCTCGCCCTCAAGTTATCAGTTTCTCCCCAAAACTCTCACGTGTCTATACTTGGGTCCCGGGCGGTCCTAGGTGGCTAATTATGGGCGCACCATAAGTAGGGAACATTTCTCTAAAGTCTCAGCTTTCTAGTTTTTTCGTCCCTGAGTTAGCGATTTTCCTGTGCAAACTTCCTTACGCCTATAACGTAGGACGCAGATGTGTGCAATGTTTGATATCATACTCCAGGGGTCACAGTTGGCGAGGAACACATTGGCAAAAGTTCAGCTCCAAAACCTGCATGACTGCAAAGTAGAAACAACCGGAAGACGAACACATAAACATATACAAACATATACACACACACGCATAAAACACAGACAGGATCATCGTAATACCGTTTTTGCTGCCTGTTGCAGCGCTCTAGCGCTGCACGGCAAAGACGCATAAAAACTCAGAAATTGATTTAAGATGCTATGGAAATGCCTTTTTAACGGCATTACTAATTTCCGTCGAATTGATTAAATGGTTTTATAAAAACCGTGTGAGACCAATAAGCAGTATTCTTGCGAAACTATAATCAGGAAGATCTCTGAAGAAATGGTGCACATACATGGAACAAGCTATCAAAACTAAGTGAAGGTCCGTGGTTCAGAATCGAAGGGCCTGACATAATAGCTCTGCTCGGCATTTGTGAGGATATCCCAATAACATCACAAAACTGGATCCTCACAATAACTGCCCTTTTGATCATCTTTATGTAAAAATAGCTCCAGTTTCAGTCTAACGATAAACGATATTTTCGCTCTTTTTTGGTTTTACTTTCCTTCTTGCTCGCGCTTTTTTCTTCCTTTCACTTTCTTTCTTGCTGGTATTTTTTTCTTGCTTTTATTTCCTTTCTCGTAATTTTTTCTTGGTTTGCTCATTTCAAGCCATCACCCCTCCCCCTCTCTTACATGGCCTAGGCAAATCTCAGCAAAAGGATCTACGTCGCTTAGCCATTCAATGTACCCAGCCTCGAATCCCTACGAGCGAAACCCGTACACACCGCTCCCCCCTCCCCTCCCCCCTCCGTCCCTCATCCTCATCACAACCCCCTCCTCGCGTCTCGAACCCAATGCCCAAAAGTGTGTTCATGAATTGCCAGCCCTCTCCCCCCTCCTCCCTTCCCTTCCTCTTCTATTCCCTCTACAGTGTACAACCCGAAATCCTTCCCCTACCCTGCGCATCCGCGACAAAACCAGCAACATGCGTCTCATTTCCTTCCGCTCATCACCCTCTCTCCTCTACGTGGCCACTCGACGTTCCCACCTAATTACCCTCCTCTCCCGTGCCTCCGAGCCCGCGGTTACCATCCTCACACAACAGTTTCCCCACCCGATCCTTTTCTGCTCCCCACCCCTCTTGCCCCGTCCTGCCTTCAGTCCCCCTCCTTTCGTGTTCTCTTCCTTCCCTGCCCCCTCCCCGCCCCTCTCATTGCCCCCCTACTACCCAGTTTTCGAGTAAATTCGCAAACCGTGCAGCTGCCGAGGCTGGTCGAGGTGAGCCGAGCTATGGCAATTGCCACAAAAATCTGCGGGAAACTATGTAAAGAGCGCAACTTCGCACGGGCAGTCTGTGCGTTGGCCAACTATTATAAATAGAACACACGCACACATTTATAAATTGAACAATGCTTTAGCTTTTAATTTAGCAAAAATTCTGGTGAGAAAGTACCGTTGATCAGGGTGCAATGAAATGAAATCTCCATCAGCAACAGGCTTATAGGTCCAGTTCTTGGCACTATCGTATTCATCTGCCGATGCGGTACCATTAGCCAACGTATCACAGTTGATGCGATGAAAATTGGGGACAAGGCCGATCACTGTTCGGAGACGAGATCTTTGAACTCGAAGGTTGGATTCTTTCCAGAATTTTCGCCAATTCAGCAAGTCTAACAAACACTGGGCGTAGTGATTTTAACAACCTCTCCAATTCTCATAAAAATGTACTGGGGCTGCCAGGCGAGTTATGAT